CAACATACTTTCTGTGGGAGTAGAACTTTAAATACAAGTCCACACAAATGGCAGGATTTCTGCAGGCCCAGTGTTCAGCTGCATTTCAAATACAGCATTTCCTCCTGGAATGGATCGGCCGGCTGAGCGGTGTGTAGGCATTTCAAGGCACCAGAGAACACAGATGAAGACAACAAACCTTCCTAAAACAGGACAGACTTGCTAAAATTCTTTAAAGGGAATCATTTCACATTCAGCCTAAAGTTTTCTGTGCAAAGAACATTTAACAAACCGAGTCCTAGAGGAGAATTTATGCAGAGATTAAAAAGCAAATCGGTGTGAATGAGTAAATAAGATCAGGCATCAGCAGCTCCCTAAGCCTCCCGGCAGCCCTCCGCAGCTGGGCCCGAGGCCGGGGCTTTCTGGACGTGGGCAAGGTCTCATTCACCAGGAGTGCTCAGCCCCGTCTGGGGCCTTCTCAGAGGCTGTCCTCAGGTCCTCCTTGCACACAGTATCACGGGAGCCCTGGGCACTGAGAGAACCAGCATGAACTCCCTCCCCGTGAGAGGAAACCCCACTTGGGCTAAACCTGGGGCTGCTTGCTCCTGAAGGGCTCTGACCTGCCTGTGGGATTTCAGAGCCTGCTCCAGAGTGTATAACTGGGAGGGGACTGGGGTCTGCTGGAGGGCTTCCTATGGGAGTGAGACGTGAAACCTCATTTGCATAAAACTGAATTAGTCATTTGTCCACAGCAAAGGCCAGTGGGGAAGAGATCACGGGGATCTGTAGTTCCCCAAGTTCCCTCTCATTGCTGCCACCAAACTTGCCTTCCAAGGGTCTCCTGCAGCTCTGGGTTCCCACTCACCCCTGCCCTTCTGGTAGTGGTAGCTGTCTCTATGTGTTCTTGGCTGTTGAATCCTGCACTTCTGAAAAGGGAAACAAGAACCACTGGCGCTGGGTCATGGAGGCTGTGTGTCCCCAGATTGCTGGTATAGACGTGCTGGTGCAGACAGGAACATGTCTCCATCCAGGAATAACTACTTAAAAGATAAGCACGCTTTATCTTTGTGAACATCTGGATAGACGTTTTCCTTTTTGTCTCTACCTCTTCCTCCAAGCCTAGGATAGGACTCTTGCCTCACTTCCTCTGCCCTTCCCTGCCCCCGCCAGGGGCTGGAGCCTGCTCCCCAGGCATGAGGCAGGACTGCACTTCCAGGTCCTCTTGTGGTTGGGTGGAATCATGTGACCAGCTCTACCCACTAGCTGTGAGTGCAAGTGGTCTGTGTCACTGCTGGGCTAGAGTACTTAGCATAGGTGTGAGACCTTCCAGAGTTCTCTCCCTTTGCCACATCTACCTGTAGTGTTCTTTTTTTTTTTTTTTTAAGATTATTTATTTATTTATTTATTTGACAGACAAAGATCACAAGTAGGCAGAGAGACAGGCAGAGAGAGGGGGAAGCAGGCTCCCCGCTGAGCAGAGAGCCCAATGCGGGGCTCGATCCCAGGACCCTGGGACCATGACCTGAGCCGAAGGCAGAGGCTTAACCCACTGAGCCACCCAGGCGCCCCTACCTGTAGTGTTCTTGATGGTGGCTGCTCCATCAGCCTGGGTCCCAGGGTGTGGAAGCATGGAGCAGGGCCCCAGCTAACCCTGCTCCCCACATGTCATAAGAGCAAAGACAGAAAACTGATTATAAGCCACAGCATAACCCCTCCTAGCCTGACCAATAGAGGAAGGCTTCTCCTCCCTCCCTCCTTCTTTCTTTCTTTCTTTCTTTCTTTCTTTCTTTCTTTGTATTTATTTGAGAGAGAGAGCACGAGTGGGAGGGGCAGAGGGAGAGGAAATCCCCAGCCAACTCCAAGCTGAGCACAGAGCCGGAGGCAGGGCTCCTCTCGCCGTGAGATCCAGACCAAGAGTAGGATGCTTAACCGACTCTGTCACCCAAGGACCCCAGGCTTCTGATTTCTTAAATCTATTTACCAAAAACAAGACTAACTGATCAACAGCCCTCAGTTTACCCAGTATATAGCCAGATCAACGCCCCAGACCCAACTCTCTGTAAGAAAGATTTTAATGGCAATAGTGATGTTCCTCTGCCCTAAACCCAGACCAGATCGGGGGCTCACTGCTTTCCATCCCCCCGTGTATGTACTGAACAGCTGATTCCCTGCTCAGGACCATGAGGCATCTGGAGAGCTGAGCGTGAATCTTTTCATTTTTAGTGGAAATCACTCCTGCTCAGAGAAGGGGCCACTGCTAGTAATAGAAGTATTAAAGTAAATCCACACACACAGGTTCCAGGGACGCGTTGGTGGGTTCCAGGGACCCAGCCAGGCCCACAGGGGACCAGGCAGGAGGGAGTGTCGAGAGTACACTGGGGTGGTACAGATCAAGATGGTGCAACAGCCTGTGCTTAAGGGTTGGGGTCTGACACTGCCGGGTTGTGCTGGCCGAGGGGTGCGAGCCCGGGCTGGCGAGGGGGGAGGGCTGGGAGGCGGGGGGCACCTGGCATCAGCTCTTCTGAGTCAGACGCAGCACTGTGACTGTGGGGTATTCTGCAGCAAGGCCCCAGGAATTTCTGGGGGCAGAGCCTGCTTTCTAGGTGTGTGTATTTTAGTGTGGGGTGTCCTCCTAGAGGGCATGGAGACAGGAAGGGGGTATGTGGTGGGTGGAACGAGCAGTGAGCAAGGGAGGGAGATAGAGGAGAGTCTGGGAGAGCCGAGAGCAGGCATGTGGGAAGCAGAGGCGCTCTGGAAGTCCTGCCCGGCGGGCCACGCTCTGACCACAATGACCCACCCGTTCCCAGGTGGCCGGCAGGGAGGAGCAGCTGTGAAAAATGGGCCTGAAAGGAGGATCCAACACATTCACTGACAGTTTGTCTTAAGCTGGGCTTGTTTAACTTAAATGCTTAGAATGTCTGAGTGAGTAGCTTCCCACCTACACCACACGATCAGCCTAGCCTCCAGTTCGGCTCCGAGCAGGGCGAGCTGAGCCTCACTGGCCTGGCCCATGTCCTGCCCTCTGGGATGGCTGAGTGACCCTCTGGCTGGCTAAGGGTCCAAGCAGCACCCCCAGCGTGAGGCTTCCTGCACCACCCTCACCACTAGACAGAAGGTAGACAGGGGGTTCCGCCAGGCTTTGGTAAAGTTTTGGAGAGAAAATTGCCAGAACAGAGGTCAGCACCGAAAAGAAAACGGTCTATACAGTTTCAACCTGATTTTGCTTTTAAACATAGGCCCAACATGAGACTTCAGCTGCGTGATCCTCATCTATCCCGCGGCCCTCCGCCCTGGGTCCTGGGGCCACCATCCTTCTCATGCCCTTTGTGCCCCTGGGGCTGTGGCTTCTCTGAGCCCTTGGTTGTCCCCTCTTCCCCTGCCCACCCTGAGGAGCTAGACATTCTTCTGCCTCTTCTCCCCTCCCTTCATTGAATGTTCAGTATCACCTGTTTCCAGGTGTCTCTCGGGATAGCTGACTTCTTTGTCCACTGCATCCCCCCCCCACCGCTTCCCCCCCTCCCCCCCGCCCAGTTCTGTCTCCTAAATAGTCCCTGAGGCTCTGGAAATCCTCCATACCCTGCCTCTTCCCACCAGCTTCTGTTCTGCCTCCCTAATGCCTCCTGCCGACTCCCAGGGTCACAGCCAGCTCAGGCCCCGCTCTGTCCCAGCTAGACATTGCCCAGCCACTACCTGCGTCCCCGCAGCTGGCCTCCCTTCCTCTGGACCACATGGCAGCTACAGGGATCTTTTTAAACTATACAGTAGACCACACTGCTCCCCTTTTAAACTCTTCAGTGACCCCTGCTGACCCCAGGAAGATGCCCAAGCACCTGGCAGGGAAGGGCACACTGGGCTCAGCATTCTGGTCTCCAGGATCGCTCTGCATCCCTTCCTACGTGGGAAGTCCAAAGGCCCCTGTGTGGTTCCCTACCACACCCTTCTAGGCCTCCCTGCCTTTGCTGGGGCCGTTCCCTCATAGGCCTCATCTGTGGGCTGGGATGAGGCTTCAGTAGGGGGCTCAGGGTTCAGAAGTCACAGTGACAGTCTCTGTCTCTTCACCAATCCCCAGACAGTTCTTTGCTCTCTGGCCCCCGAGATAACGAGAGGACCTTTAACCTGGCTGGTGGTTTCTGTGCGTTTATTGCCCATATTTGCAGTCTGCACACCAGAATGGGGACCAGCCCCCCACATCTTCAGACTTACTAAACTAGAAGCAGAACCGAGAGAGGAAGCTGAGCAATGGTGACAAATTCCATTTCTCAGAGCAAAGGGAGGAAGTGAGGAAGTGGCATAGGTGGCCTTATGGATTGTCTCTGCAGATCAGGGACTGTGCTCTTGTGGTTGACACCAGCAGCCTCTGAGCTGTTCAACACCACCACCCCCCGCCCCCGCCTCTAGTCCCAGGAATGCAGGTTTTGTGTTCTAACTCCTAGGCCTGTGTCCCCTGCAAGCACTTAGGTTTTATCACCTGACTCTAGCTGTGTCCGGCTCATAGCAGGCAGATAATAGGAGCCCTGATGACCGAGAAGCCGCAGCAATTCCCCTCCCACCCCTTCCCTGGCCCGAATTGCTTTCCACCAGTTGTTTGACAGTGCTTGTTTCATAGCATCCTTACCAGCTCTGGGGTTTAAGCAATTAAAAGAAAAAAATTTTTAATAGTTTAGTGGGTAATGCTATCTGGTTACATTTCCCGACATTTAAATTATATTGTATTCCTCCACTTTTGTGAAGTGCTGTCTCAAGTCTTCCCTGTGTATTGAAGCAGTTTGTATTTTCTCCAAAGATTTGGGTGGGTGAGACACACCCCTTCCCCTGGCCTTGCTCGCCTCAGAGGGAGGGAGAGGGGTAGGCCCAGAGTGCCAGCCCCCTGATGGCTTACAGAGCTCTGTTTCTAAACTTTTTAACCAACCAACAGAACGTTTTCTTAATTTCACACAGCACCTCTTTATATAAAACATGAATAATTCGCCTATGTGGGGAGACCTGGAGCGTCACTCCCCCTCCAGAAGCCTCTGTCTTACCTGAGGAGGGGCCGCTGGGACCCTCTTGATCGTCTGAAGAGGGGATGCCACCGCAGTCGGGACCTGAAAGGAGATGAGCGGTTCACAGGGGTTTCGGGGACTCAACCTACAGCCACCCAGCAACCCAGAACAGGTGAGCCAGGTACAAACACCAAAGGGCCCCACCTGCGCCAGAGGCAGCGCCACACCCTCCACATCGCCAAGGAGAGGGTGTGGACCCGGCTTTCCCCGCGGACGCGGACGAAGTGCAGCCGGAAGGGGTGGAGGGGCACGGAGGTTTGTGCCACAAACCTGCACAGGCGTGGGGGAGGTAGGAGGGCTGACAGGTGGAGGGGGCTCTGCCTGACGGGTGGGAGGGATGAGAGCTCTACCGGAACAGCTGGACCTGGGCCAGGCTGCGGATGTGTGAGGTGGGGGGCGGAGAGAGGCGAATTCAGAGCTCCAGCCTCGGGGCCTGGGTTAGATCTGATAGACGAAGCTAGAACAATGGGAGCTTTCCCCCAGGACCTTTGTGTAATCTCAGCCTCGCCAAGATACGTGGGGATGGGAGAGAACTGAACCCAGGCGGTAAAAGACGGACGGGGGCCGCCCGGACCAGGGCTGGGGCAGGGAGGAGGAAGCCGCACGCAGAGAAAGAAATAGGGCGCTTTCACAGCAGATAAGGGTAAAGATAGTTTGTCCAGGGGACGCTCAGCAGAGACACTTCAGGACCTCAGTGGGGTCTACTTAGGGGACGGTAGGGAGGACACTCTGTGAGCGGAGTCCTTGCTCACGATGTCACCCGTCTCCGCATCCCTTGCTGGCTCAGTCCCCTCAGCAGCAGCTCCAGACACGCCCCCCAGTGGGATTGGTGGGCTGGGCCTCTCTCTGTGGCTCCGCCCTCCCCTTCTAACCTCGCCCCGGGCCTCGGGTATTGACCTCTCCCGGGACACTCTGGCTCCGCCCCCTGGCCCCGGGCCCGCGCCTCTCTTCCGACCAAGTTCCCTGGTTTCAGGCGCTCGGGCTCTTCAGGCCCGCCCCTAGTCCCAAGTCCCGCGGTCAGCTTTCCAGCCTTACCCTTGACTTGAGGCCCTGGGAAGTTCAACTCCCACCCCGCGGGGCTCCGTGCGGCACTGGTCGGCCCTCCACCTTTTCAGGCCAGGCCTGCTGCCAGGACCCTCTTCACTACCGTCACATCGAGCAACCATTACTCCCCAATGCTCTCCTCTGGACCAGCTCCCGTCGTTTATAGACACTTATTTTGCAAATCACTCAAACTGTGTTTCCGAGAAATCCGGAATTTAAGTCCCGGTCCCTTGCCCCACAAGCAGAAGGTGTTGCAGAGGGCTGGCAGGAGTGTTTCTTTTCTCAGAAAACAACTGGCTCTCTCTTGCTTAGGAATCCCCATGGAGAAGCTCCAGGGAGACCCGGGTTCCAGGCCTGGGTCAGCTCTCCATCTGAGCCTTAGGTGCCCCCTTCCCGGTCAGAGAGGGGGTCACTCCAGTGTCTTGGGCAGCTGCGACCAGGACCAAATGAGCATGGGTACTTGATGTTGCCACATTAGGGTGGGAAGAGGGAAGCCATGGCCCCTAGGACCTGTGTTCCCCCAGGAACCCTTTTTCCCATGTGGACACCCTAACTTGTTTCCCCTGAGTTAACCACCTGGAGGCATCCCTCCCCACCCATAGTCTGGGGAGTCCAACCTCCAACCATAGCCAGGAGGTCAGAGGGGGCCTGCTCTTCTGGCCTCCAGGGGACGTCCTGTCCCCTGTACCTGGGATGCCTGCCTCTTTACCCTCCACAGGCTGATGACTTGCATGCACCTCTGTCCTTCACCCTCTTCATGGGCTGACCTGACCCTAGGCCAAAGGCTGGCAAGCATCTAGAAGTGGGTATGAAGGAGGCAAGCCTCTACTGAGCCATCCCAGCCCACATGACTCTCAGGCCCCACCACCCTGGAGTGCGGAGGAGCTCACTTCACGTCTCTCAACAAGAAGTTTCTCAAGGAAGCCCTTTGTCCTCAGACCTTCCCCAAACTGTCCCCCTCCAGCTGCACAACCTCTCTCCCCCACCAAACTCTTCTAAAAAAAAATTCTCTGCACATTTTTTCAAAATAGAATTAAATGACAGGAACTATTTAGGGAGGGGTTCCCGAGAGGAAATGGGATCATGACAACCTTGAAATTACAGGACTTTTTTTTTTTCCTCAAAAGAAAAACTCATCCAATCATTGATATTCTCAGTCAGACCCTGTTTGGAAATATGCTCCCCTCTGTCCTTTCACAAACTACAGGCTTTCTCCCTCTTTGAAAATAAGAGCACATCAAATTAGGGATTAGAAATGGGAAAAATTCAATCAGAGCTGCCCTCAGGCCTGCTACACATCTCAGTTCATTCCTAGGCCAACAGTATCGGCTCCCGCTACAACCCAGCCCAGCATCATCATTCAAAACGCACCAGTAGGAAATGGTGAAACAGAAGGACCTTTCATCCCCGAGTGAGTGAGGACTGCAGGGCTGCTCTCCTAGCTCCGGAAGCCGGCAGTGCCTGGGCCGAGTGGAGTCAGGGCCCCTTGCTTAAATAGGCAGTAAGGGAGGGCGGGCCTGGGGGGCGGGCATGGAAAGTGGGCTGTTTATCCAGCACAGCAAGGCAGTGTCTATGGATCCAGCAGTGGTCCTGAGCACGCGCCTGCCTGCTTGTCCACCAGGAGCCTCAATCCTGCGGGCCCCAAGACCGCAGACCAGCACCTGGGATGACCTCTGATGGACGTGCGGCTCCAAGTGAGCCCATGTCCCTGGATGCTTGGGTTCCTGGATGCCTCTACATCCCCTGAGACATAGCCCAGTCAGCAGAACCAGCAGTGGAGCTGGATGGATCTGCTCCCTAGAACAGTAAGTAGTGGCCTCAAGCAGGGCATCTCTCCAAGCCTTAGTTTCTACTTCCTTTCTACAGTTTCTACTTTCTTTCTAATTTCATAGGTCCAGAAATAATGTGTGCACAGGGCCTGGCACCTAGGAGTTTGATTTATTTATCCACATGGTAATGCTGGGGCCAGGTACCTTCATTAAGGTTCAAGCCCAGAGATGTAACGTATGTAAAGTCCCACAGCCCTCTAGATGAGGGTCAGAGTCAGACGTCTTGCAGACCTGAGACTAGGTTGGGTTGCTGGAAGCCCCTTGGGGTGAGGGTGAGAAGCAGTTGCTGGCCTTGAGGAAAGGTGTTGACTGAGTTCTGGTGAAGGGGTTTACCCTTAAACGTCCAATACCAAGGCAAGAGGAGAGGCATGGCTGGACAGGCATACTCAGAGGCCGGTCTGTGCATTTGGTTGAGACCTTATTGGTGGCGTGCAGAAGTACCCCAGATTTACTGCTAGCTGTGGCTGGTGAGAGGACCTTCCCCCCACCAAATGCATATATTAAAGCCCTAACCCCCAATGTGGCTGTCTTTAAGATGGGGCCTCTAGGGAAGTAATTAAGGTTAAATGATGTCATAATGGTGAGACCCAATCAGATCAGTGTCTTTATAAAAAAAAAAAAATCTGAGGTCATGATCCCATGGTCCTGGGACCCACATCAGGCTCCCTGCTCAGTGGAAAGCCTGCTTCTCCCTCTCCCACTTCCCCTGCTTGTGTTCCCTCTCTTGCTGTCTCTCTCTCTCTCTCTCTCTGTCAAATAAATAAATAAAAATCTTTAAAAAAAAACATCTGAGGGGCACCTGAGTGGCTCAGTTGTTAAGCATTTGCCTTTGGCTCAGGTAATGATCCCAGGGTCCTGGGATCAAGCCCCTCATTGGGCTCCCTGCTCCGTGGGAGCCCTGCTTCTCCATCTCCCACTCCACCTGCTTGTGTTCCAGTTCTTGCTATCTCTCTCTGTCAAATAAATAAGTAAAGTCTTAAAAAAATAAAACAAAATGCAACACAGAAAACTACTTCATCTTATAAAAAAGAAAAAGAGAAAAAAAGACATCTGAGCCTCCCACGGCCTTATACCTGCATGGAGGAAAGGCCATGTGAGGACTGCAAAGCCAGGAAGAGAGCTCTCACCAGAGACCCGATCAGCCAGAACCTTGATCTTGGGCTTTTAGCCTCCAGAATTGGGAGAATATACATTTCTGTTGTTTAAGCCACCCTGTCTGATCTTTGGTTCTAGCAGGCCCAGCAGACTAACACAAGTGGATAGGATTGAGCCTGGGGAGCATGGAAAAGGACTTCCAGTTTACACAGCTGAATGGAGGCTGAAGTTGCTCATTGGCCAGGGGTGCAGTGGGTCAAGGGAGGGTTGTGGTGTTGGGGGACATTTGCACGGATCTGTCCAGGTGGCAGTAGAATATTCAGACCCACAACTCCGCAGAGAAGCCTTGGCTAGAGCAGGATTTGGGAATTATTAGTGTACGTTAAATCATAGGAGTGGCTGAATTTCGTCAAATCACTTCCTCTTTCTTTTTCAACTGATCCATTTTAATCCCAGTGTCTTGTTATATCAGATTTTGTCTTTCATATTTTTGTAAAAAGCCAGAAACTCCCTCTCTCTTTTTAAGTATAATTGTGCACAAATTCCGCCTCCCCTACCCCCCACTTTTTAATGAGTCTGTTTTCTTCTACTTACACATAGCAAGTCTTAGGAGCATAATTGCCATGTGGTTAGGACACTCCTATGTGGTCCGAATGCCACATTTCTATCCGAGATTCATCTTGTCTTCACTATTTGTGATGTCAGTCCTCTTGTCATTCTTATCCAAGTTCAAAAGAACGTATCTCCCTTCAGCTTGCCAGATCATTCCATACTGCAACTAGCAAATGCTGATTTCTTTCTCTTGGAGTTAAACTTGAAAGGCACAGTGTGCGTTCTTTATTTCTAGGCAGAGCTGTTTTTTTCATCTCCCTAGGAACTTTTCTTGTATTGTTTCTTATCTGTTTCCCTCATCGTGTGTCTCGCCCTGTTTCTCTTTCTCTCACCTGCTGTAGGGCTGTGACACCATCTCTCATTTCCAAGTGGGTTGTTTGTACCTCTCTGATTGTCTTCTTTGTTTGCATTTTTGGTTTGGTGTCTTACTTTAGCCTCAACATTCCTGCTTTCTTTGATCTA